GATGTTTGCCAGAGAAGACGGGCGTGGGGAATGGGATAAAAAGGTGAAGGGGACCCGGCGGGTGTGGCTCAGTGGTTGAGCATCGACCTATGAACCAGGAGGTCAGGGTTCGATTCTCGGTCAGGGCAGAGGCCTGGGTTGTGGGCTCGATCCCCAGTGTGGGGCGTGCAGGAGGCAGCTGATCCATGATTCTCTCTCATCATGGATGTTTCTATCTCTCTCCCTCTCCCTTCCTCTCAGAAAACAGTAAAAACATATTAAACAAAGAAAAGGCGAAGGGAACAGAGTCAACAACATTGCCGTAGGTTCGTAGGTGACAGGTGAGTCCTAGAATCAGGGGTGACCACGGGGTAAGGTATAGGAGTGTTGAACCACCATATTGTACATCGGAGCTAATATGACATGTGTACCAACTCTACTTAAAATGAAAACATGAATTTCAGGAAAAGAAAAGTGGGGGTTGAGTCCCCCGAGCACAGGCCACGCTGGGCGGCCCGCTCCCGCGTCCTGTCACGCTGGGGGCGCACACGGTGGCCAGTCTCAGTTTATCCTGAACGTTCTTGCACTTTCACGTGTCCTGAACAGAAGACACCAGGAGATGATCCCTTAAAAGTGCGCATCGGGCCTCAGGGGAGTGGGAGCCGCACCGCCCAGGCCTCACAGTTACGGGCCGCAACAAGAGGAAGCGAGGCGGCTCATTCTCGGCTTTGCTGCTGAGGAGAAGCAGCGGGAGTACCCGACAGGCTTCCACAGGCGGAAGGCGGAGCGGAAAGAGGCGGCCGCAGAGGGGATCCCGCAGCGGCTCAGGGAGGAGCAGGAGGAGCTCCGGGAGGGGCTCTGGCAGCATCTTCGAAGGGTTCCCCTTGACCCCTGTCCCCCGGGTCCAAGGGATTTCACGGCACAACCCAGGCCACCAGGAGACCGCCCCGTGTCAGGTGGGAATCGGCTTTCCTGGGGCTTAAGTCCGTGCGAAACTCTCCCGTGGGCTCAGGTGGGAAGCGGCTATTTTGGGGGCAACTAGGAACCGAGTGTGGACCGGACTTGACCTCGGAGCCCGCCCAGCGGGAGGCGTGGAGCGGCACAGGCAGCAGCACGGTGGAGGCCGAGCCGCTGAGGCCCGAGGGACCGCACGCACGTGGTCAGCACGGGAGCGAAAGAGCACCTGCCGCACAGGACGGACTCACCCACCTGCTTCTCACGGAGCCGGAAGGGGTTCCTCGCGGAGTGCCGCTGGGAGGCCAGCGCAGGTCCTGGCTTCCTGGGCTCTGCTGGGGCCAACGAGGGTCAGGAGAGCCCTGTGCTCGCGGGGAGGCCGAGGCCCGAGCGACGGACGGCACAGTGCGCCTTCATCGGTCGGTTGTGGCGAAGGGCGGGTGGTCCGTCAGTCTGCGATCCACGTCTGGCGTGTCTGTGCTACTTCGCCCGGCCCAGACGTGTCCTTCCTCCACGCCCGGCGCCCCCTCGCCGCCTACTTTACATTGTGTTTGTCAATCACAGTTGACACTCAGTGTCATTTGTGTCAGTTGCAGTGCTCAGCATCGGTGAGACAAGGACGTAACTCACGGAGTGACTCCACGGTTAGGACAGGTCACTGGCCACGGTCCCCACGTGGCACTTCACATCCGCAACTGCTCTGGGGCTGCCGATCGTACTTCTCAGCCCCCCGGCCCCAGCCCGCGGCCTCCTCTCTGGCAGCCAGTTCGTCCTTCATGGCCCTGAGTCTGGCCTCCCTGTTTTAAAGGAAATGATCCCTCCGTCCACTGAGCACCCCTAATCGAAATGAATCACCGGGGCCTGTTGGTCCCACTCGAAGGCCCACAGCCTCTGCCTCCCTCCGTCCTCACTGTCCCTGCCGCTCGACCTCCAGAACCTCCCGCATTCTCTGCCTCCAGGCTCGCCACCCAAGCCTCCTCCACACTCCCATCAGACGACCTTCGGCGACCTTTCCCCAACACACATCGGATCACTCGGTTTCCTGCTCAGAAACTTCTGGCGGCTTTTCCGCGCCGACTGAGCTAAGAGAAGCCGCGCTGGCGTGGAACCGTCCACCTCCCATAACCTGTCCGGCCCCGTTCCTGGCTCTGAGCCACTCTGCCTGCACCTGGGCCGCCACGCGGTGCAGGGATGGCGAACCGAGGCTCCACGGGTGCCAGTCCCTGCTGCTTCCTGGGAGCGGCCGCGCCCATCCTCCCGCCAGAGGCTCAGACGCGGCTCTCTTTTCTTTAATATATTTTTATTGATTTTAGAGAGAGAGGAAGGGAAAGGATAGAAACACGGATGAGAGACACACATCGGCTGCCCCTCACACCCAGCCCCCCACGCCCAGCAGGGCTTCATGAAGCTGAGGTTCTGCAGGAACACGTCCTGGTGAGAATGCTGTGCGTCATGTGACCAGGACAAGAAAACAGAGAAATTGTTTTGAAAGATTTTCAAACCGAGGATTGAGCTCAGAAAGGGTTTTGGTGAGCCGCGCTCAGCAGGGAATTCAGGGAACTCAGGCAGGCTGGTCTCTGAGCAGACGGATTAGACCTGACGGCTCAATAACGCGGCCGTTTCAGCGTTGGCGGTGGCTCCACGCGGCCCCAGAGACACCCCTCCCACCAGACCCCCCAGGGCGGCTCCACCGGCTCCACC